GGTTTAGAGTTTTCAGGGTTTAAGGGCTTAGGGTTGAGGGATTCTAGCTAGCCTGCAATGCAGCTCAACTTCGAGATTGCAAATTCCGAGCAGGCGTTCGTTGACACGCACTGCCACCTTGACTTGATCCTCCCGAGGCTTTCCAAGCAAAGCCACACCGAGTCTTTCTCGCAAGGGTAGTGCAGAAGGGTTCTGGATGTCTCCTTTACCGTAAAGACCTCAGCTTTCAATTCCCTTTTATATTTCTTGCAAGTTAGTATCAGTTTCAGAGTTTCAGCTTGAACTCGCTTGGGGTATAGTAGCCAATTCTTGCAAAGCGCTAGAATGCCTACCCAGCACGCAGGAGCAGGCATGATCGGGTTTATTAAGGGTTTAGGGTTTGGGGGTTTGGGGTTTACGGCATAGGGGTTCAGGGTGTGGGATTGAGGGTTTAGGGGTTTGGGGTTTACGGCATAGGGGTTTAGGGATCCCAAACTCGCATCCAGAACGAGGAGGCTTGCAGAACGCCTGGCCTCGACGTGTCGTCCTTGCTCCATCGCTTATGGACTCATTTCGCCCCACAGGACAACCTTTATAAGCCCCGTAATCGAAATTGGTTGTCAAAATTAGAGTCCCTTTTGGGGTCCTTATGATAGTACGGCACCTCGTATTTAAGGTACCCAAAAACGGACCCAAATTGCTTGCCTTACTCTCAAAGCCCTAAGGAAGCTCCCCAGGCCCCGACACCCAAAACCCATAAACAAAACGTGCGGAAAGGCATTAGGTCGCTACAAAATTAACCCAAAGGGTCCAAGTAATGGTATAGTATATACTTTGGAGGCTCAAATATCTTGTAAGTAGCTACCATATTGGTACTTGGACCCTTTGGGTAATAGAATCCTGCGCCAGCCCTAAACCCAAAACCCTCATAAACCTGGCAAAAAGCTGAACCAACCCAGCATGATGGCCTTTGCGCCCGAGGATGCCGCGCGTGCCAAGGCCAAAGGCCAAGAACCGCCGCGACGGATGAACGCTGATTTCGAGGTGCGTGCTTGAGAGAAGTAGTGTATGGTGTTGAGTTTTGTTTGAAGGGCAACAGCCATTTCAGCTGCATGGCAGAAAGCCTTGCCACACCCTTCTCGCACCCTGTCAGATTTCAGACTCCCGGGCCATCATGTACATTGGCCCCCTGGGCGTTGAAGCCATGACAGGCTAAACCCCTAAACCATTTCCCTAAAGCCTAAACCCCTAAACCCCCACAACCTAAACCCTAAACCTAGATGTTGAAGCCGTGACAGGAGTGGCGCCAGACCCTGGACGGCCCGGAGAAGGACTTCGAGGCCTGCGTGAACATAGGCCACGCGGCTGCAGTGCTTCGATGAGGGGAGGTTTTAGGTTGAGGGTTCAGGGGGTTTGGCTCTAAGAGTCTTTATGCTCAAATAAGAAGTATACAGTTTAGGGGCCTTTATAATTAGAAGAGGTTTTCGGGACCCATTCAACTATAGTTACAATAAGACACCCCCAAAAAATAATCAGTATTTGCAATTATTTAGGACCCTTTCTTACTTTAATTTGGCGCCAGAAGACTTTAGACCTGCGAAAATCGTGCTGCCCAAGTAGATATCTCCCACCCCCACAACCTTATACTAGTTGGGGGTTTCCGGAAATTAGGGGTGTCTTATCTTGGGGTGCTTATAATGAGGATCCTACTATTTAGGGTGCTAGATTGGGGTCCCCTGTTTTTGGAAACTCCCAGTTGAGTATGATGACGAGCATGAGGCAGGTACCTCATCGAGACATGCTTGCTCAAAGACGGCATAGCCCGGCATGTAGTGTTCCGGAGTTTGCACTTCAGGCTGCTCACCGCACAGTCTTGTCGCAAGCACACAGTATCTTCACACAGCTTTGACTCTAAACACTAAGCAGCGCACAGCTATTTGATATCACGCCGCAGTACGGTTCAGCTCTTCGTGGAATGATGTTCAGAATTGGTGCTACAAGTCGCACGGTATATTGATGTAGAGGTTGATCGCATGAGCTGGTGCAGTTTTTTGGTCAAGAGCGCTCAACCTTAAACTTAAACCCTCAACCTGAGATTCTAAAGCACTTCAACCCTCACTCGAACGCTGATATGATAGCAACCCAAGCACTTCCTAGTACCATTCCTTAAGGCACTTTCTTGTAGTCGTGCCATCATATACCAGGAATCCTCGTCTGATTGTTGAGGTCTTAATGCGAAACCGTCTTAATTAGTTAGTAATTAGTTAGTAACCCGGCCAGAAACCTGTCAAAGGAACTTTGATAGTACTCTGGGGAAGTACTTAATTACCAATACAACTTGGATGGTTCCTTGCCAGAAATATTGTATAATGCACACCAAAACCCTAGTCTTCTTGTAGTAAAATTTATCCCCAAACCATTAGTCTTATTATAGTAAAAATACACCGACACCCTAGTCTTACCCTGAAGGCCCCGAGAGAAACCTCATTCTATATGGGTGATTGTCAAAATTATGGTCCCTTTTTGGGTACCCTAAATAATCGGTGCGGTATAATAATAGGTACCCAAAAGGGGGCCCTAATTTTGACAACCACCCATATGAAGGCAAAAAAATCTCAGCCCAGGTTGTAGCGCCTCCTCTCTCGATGTCGCGAGATCCTTCTTGAAGCACGAGAAGGTAGGGCTTGGGGGGGTGTAGGGGTTAGGGGTTTAGGGTTTAGGGTTAGGGGTTTAGGGGTTAGGGTTTAGGGTTTAGGGATGTTCGGGGGGTGTAGGGTTTGGGCTAGCACCCAAGGACCTAGCAGTAGAGTAGGTAACCTTTAACCTTTGTTGGGTAGTATAGTCCCTATATCATCCCTATATAACCAAAAACTTTAACTTTTAGTTCCCCTTGATACCCGACAAGTAGGGGTAGGGTTTGGGGATGTTTGGGGGTGTAGGGGTTAGGGTTTAGGGTGTACCTTATCATAATCCGTGAATTACCTTTGGGGTTCCTTATCATGAGTTCCTGATACAAGTTCTCAAAAGGTAGATTATTCCGGGTTAAGGTAGGGTTTAGGCTTTCAGAGTTGAGGTTTCCCGTCAAGGGGTACCATTAGGTTTACGGTAGTTCTATGCGGGGCCTTTCACTTATCGGTAATTTCACCAGAAGTAAGAAAGCCACCCACGTGATTCAGCCGTTTTGGGAGCAACACTTTCCCAAGTTCTTTTTCTCGAGTAGCCCCCACAAGCTTCTTTGCTGCACCTGACGAAGCTGCCTTCGTGCTGCACAAAGCCACACTGTACCGAAAGGCCTATTATTGCGGTGCCCCACAACATGAAACTCTCAATGCCCCATTCACTTTGCGCCCGAACTCCCCTCCCAAATTCGTAAACGTACACTCTACACAGCTCAGAAACGCCAAGCGCTCCCAAAACCTCAAAACACTGAGCAACCCATTCTCCGAAACCTTAGTGTTGTTGAGCGTTGTTGCATGTCCCCAAAAGGGTCCATATACACTACCACTATAGCACTAGACCCCAAAGACCTTTCTTGTTACGGTTTTTGGGACCTATTCCATACAAGTAAGTAGTATAAAAATATAGGAAGATAAATGTAACAACCTCTCTCTCTCCCTCGCTCGCTCGCTCGCTCTCTCCTCTCTCTCTCTCTCTCTCTCTCTCTCTCTCTCTCTCTCTCTCTCTCTCTCTCTCTCTCTCTCTCTCTCTCTCTCTCTCTCTCTCTCTCTCTCATCTATCTAGCTACTTACCTATCTATCTATCTGTCTATATATACATACATATGTATATTTGTCAACGTATCTGGACCCTCTTAGGTTTGTTGCTCACTGGATCGACGTAAGGTTTACGGCGCCTTCGGGATTCACCCGCTCAACGCGGAGCAGTATACCGAGGAAGTGGAGGAGTCGATCGGTGTATGGTTTGGGTTTAGGGTTTAGGGTTTAGAGTCGATCCAAGGGTTTAGGGTTTAGGGTCGATCCAAGTTGTTACTGTGTTTCAATCTTTTGGTTTTTGGAGGTGCGGCTTAATCAAACGTTGTTTGTAGTTTTTCAACACGCAATGTGGGGAATACCAAATTTCCTACTATTTAAGTGATCTTGCAAAAGGTAGTGGTGGTAGTAGTAGTAGTAGTAGTAGCAGTAGCAGTAGCAGCAGCAGTAGCAGTAGTAGTAGTAGTAGTAGTAGTAGTAGTAGTAGTAGTAGTAGTCGTATATAGTGGTGGTAGTGCATGTCTGTTTGTGTCCATGGACAGTACCCGTGCAGGCTGATGACCCGAGGTTTAGGGTTGCAGCATTCAGGTCGCCAGCCTTCGCAGGATTGCGGAGTTCATGGCTGACACTTTGAGATACCCTAATCCCTAAACCCTAAACCCTATCAGATTGAAAGATTCGGGCTCCGGGCTGTTTTCCAGTTCAGTCGGCACCAGCACCTCCGATGCGCTAGGCTGGCACACTGTCTTGCCCCGGGTTCGGCTTTGGGCTGGTGGGCCCTGTAGTTTCGTCAGCCCTTGTACTACGCGAAATAAGGCGAAAGATGTGGTCATTGAAATGGAGAATAGAACCTTTATTCAGAGCTTTCAGTTGTCATGCTCGCTCGCCCTTCGTGTTTCTAACATGTTTGGGTGCTCGCTCGGCCGTCTTTTTTTCCCCAATGCTGGTTGCTGCTTGCAGCGATCCCCGACGATGCTTGCCCGGATTCGCAGGTTTACCCGCGTCTTTTATGAACTTAGCCACTATTTCTTATCTGAGTTACACTATCAGGATTCCGGAAAAGCATCACCCCTCAGCCTCCCTCTTTCGTTTCGCCGCTTTCGGGCGAGACTGCGAGGTAGCCTGCTTCAGCCACCACCAAACAATATAGTAAGCCTGATCTCTGTTCCTTCGTGAAGCTGGAATTGCTTTGAGCGTCTTCTTCTTGGGGTCATGACCACACACCGGGAGATCACCATTAAAGCTGGCGGCGCATGAGTTCCTTGGGTAAGATTCGGTTAGATAGTACTTTGGAAGAAAACCAAACTCGCTCTAATTGCGGGCAAGTCTCTTTCCATCAAAGATCTCCCCAGAAAGGAGCTTTCCCTGGAAGTGGGGAAGTGTTCGATCTTTGTGGGTCACCATATGCATCGACGTCCCTTCGGGAAGGGGGAACTCTCGAGTGAGCTCTGGAGGGAGCGATGTCGTCGTCGAAAGAGCAGCCCTGGAAACCCTTGCAGCTGTAGGCGGGGTTCTCGCAGCAATCGCCAAATCGTCGCCCCCCTCCGGTGGAACCTCGGTTGTTTCGAAAGCCATTGCAGTGCAAATTCGGAAAGAATCACGAAAGAGAATGAGAAAGAGAGCAAGAGAGAGAGAGAGAGAGAAGGTGGAAACAAGTGCAGGGTAGATACATCATCCTCCTCATCATCGCCCATTCCAACCAGGAGCTCTCTGCATGCCTTTGCAGCCGGATCCTCTTCCAGCTCCTCCCAGTGGATCTCCTCCGCCTGGCTCTATGGTTTTCGCGAGTCATGTGTTCGATGAAAGTACACATAAATCATGAAAATGGCGGATTCAGGATTTAGCGCCTCGTTGCTTGGCTCGTTCGCCTTCTCTTCCTTCTTTCTTCTCTTCTCTTCCTGCTTGTCCAGCACTGCCAAAACATCTCTGATCTTGTCCGCACTGCATTCCTGAGTGATGCTGTCCAATTGGAGGATTCTTCTGATTCGTGCCGCCTTCGTTGTGTTCTTCGGCATTCGGAGGCCACAGGAACCAAGATAGTCCATGAGGCTGGCATTCGTAAGCTTCAGGATGAAGCCTTTCTCCACCAGAAAAGGCATCAGCGAGAAGGCCTTCTTGCCCCGTCGCAAGACGAGGTTCGTGCCACACTTCTCTCCAAGGCTCTGGTCGCACAGGTGGGTGGTGTAATCGTAACATCGCACCTGGAGGGCATACTGTTGGTGGAAACTTCAGAAGCCGAAAGCCGCATCAAATCACGACTTCAATACGTAATTACTTGACAAGCCTCGTCAGCCTTCACGAGCAGCTTGCAGACCAAATGCCTGCAATCCATGTTGCATGCGATTATATCACCCAAGGAACATCCAGTCCAGCCCCGCCTTCCAATGTTCAGCGTCAGCGCCCGGGTGCTCTCATCCGCTGACAGCACATCTTCGGCACTCAAGTCCTCGCTTGCCGGGATGCGAGTCTCATCCTTCTGCATCGCGGGCAAAGGACCCTGGAAGGACCAGGGCAACTCCTTCAGCTGCACAGCCTCAGATTCTTGTGATGGATTGTGGGCCTAATGTCGCACGAGCGAAGGGAAATGAGTCTTCAATCAATCACAGCCCAAGAGCATTCAGGATCGCCGGTGTTCGCCCCAAGGATAAGAAGTAGCTCTCACCCTGCGAGAAAAGGATCCCTGGAAAGATGGTCTCGGGCATGACCACACACCGGGAGATCACCATTAAAGCTGGCGGCGCATGAGTTCCTTGGGTAAGATTCGGTTAGATAGTACTTTGGAAGAAAACCAAACTCGCTCTAATTGCGGGCAAGTCTCTTTCCATCAAAGATCTCCCCAGAAAGGAGCTTTCCCTGGAAGTGGGGAAGTGTTCGATCTTTGTGGGTCACCATATGCATCGACGTCCCTTCGGGAAGGGGGAACTCTCGAGTGAGCTCTGGAGGGAGCGATGTCGTCGTCGAAAGAGCAGCCCTGGAAACCCTTGCAGCTGTAGGCGGGGTTCTCGCAGCAATCGCCAAATCGTCGCCCCCCTCCGGTGGAACCTCGGTTGTTTCGAAAGCCATTGCAGTGCAAATTCGGAAAGAATCACGAAAGAGAATGAGAAAGAGAGCAAGAGAGAGAGAGAGAGAGAAGGTGGAAACAAGTGCAGGGTAGATACATCATCCTCCTCATCATCGCCCATTCCAACCAGGAGCTCTCTGCATGCCTTTGCAGCCGGATCCTCTTCCAGCTCCTCCCAGTGGATCTCCTCCGCCTGGCTCTATGGTTTTCGCGAGTCATGTGTTCGATGAAAGTACACATAAATCATGAAAATGGCGGATTCAGGATTTAGCGCCTCGTTGCTTGGCTCGTTCGCCTTCTCTTCCTTCTTTCTTCTCTTCTCTTCCTGCTTGTCCAGCACTGCCAAAACATCTCTGATCTTGTCCGCACTGCATTCCTGAGTGATGCTGTCCAATTGGAGGATTCTTCTGATTCGTGCCGCCTTCGTTGTGTTCTTCGGCATTCGGAGGCCACAGGAACCAAGATAGTCCATGAGGCTGGCATTCGTAAGCTTCAGGATGAAGCCTTTCTCCACCAGAAAAGGCATCAGCGAGAAGGCCTTCTTGCCCCGTCGCAAGACGAGGTTCGTGCCACACTTCTCTCCAAGGCTCTGGTCGCACAGGTGGGTGGTGTAATCGTAACATCGCACCTGGAGGGCATACTGTTGGTGGAAACTTCAGAAGCCGAAAGCCGCATCAAATCACGACTTCAATACGTAATTACTTGACAAGCCTCGTCAGCCTTCACGAGCAGCTTGCAGACCAAATGCCTGCAATCCATGTTGCATGCGATTATATCACCCAAGGAACATCCAGTCCAGCCCCGCCTTCCAATGTTCAGCGTCAGCGCCCGGGTGCTCTCATCCGCTGACAGCACATCTTCGGCACTCAAGTCCTCGCTTGCCGGGATGCGAGTCTCATCCTTCTGCATCGCGGGCAAAGGACCCTGGAAGGACCAGGGCAACTCCTTCAGCTGCACAGCCTCAGATTCTTGTGATGGATTGTGGGCCTAATGTCGCACGAGCGAAGGGAAATGAGTCTTCAATCAATCACAGCCCAAGAGCATTCAGGATCGCCGGTGTTCGCCCCAAGGATAAGAAGTAGCTCTCACCCTGCGAGAAAAGGATCCCTGGAAAGATGGTCTCGGGCACCCAGAAATTCGGAATCTCAGCGGGGGGATCTCGTCCCATCCTTGGCGGCGTAAGGATTGCGTAATGAAGCGGAACTCTGCGTGTTGCCACTTTTGGCTTTCGGGTGTTGTGGTGTCATTTCTCACTCCCTGTCAGTCTTGTCTATTTGAGGCAAGAAACGAATCTGCAAGCATCAAACCAGACATGTAGTTCAAAGCCCCGTGGTTGTGATGGAAGGCGGAGGTAGACGGGAACGGTCTGCAAATGTTGTCGTAGCAGATGTTCTGGCCTTGCAATCGACAAGACGTTTTCTACACCCTCACAAAAAACAAAAGCGAGCAGGGCCAACGTCGTGAGAGAGAGCACAAAGGATATCATCATTCACAATCTCACATCCAAGCGGCAGGGCGGGGCCGACGTGGGATTGAAGATCTTCGGCTTCAGTGCGGGAGCTTGTGGTCCACACCAATCCTCTTTCACGAGGCTCAAAGGTGCGGCGGTGTCGTCGCCGATGCACAAGCGACGATGTAGCCCACGGATCGCAACAGCCATCAGGTTGGAGAGCGAGCCCACATCACTCTGGCCAGACCTTTTCACTGCCGTCGTCATCTCCTTGAACAGGCTTTCGATGTTCGCGGACCATGCGATTTCGGGGTACCACGACAAAGTCAGGCTGAGGCAATCCGGATGCTCCTTCCACCCGTGCTTCTCCCATGCCGCCATGAGCTCGCGGTAGCATTGGTAGCACACGTGCCGGCAGTGCTCGTGCAACTCGGCCGCCGTGGCCGAGCTCTTTTCAAGCCTCAAGACCATCTCCCACTCGGCTTTCATCTGGCTCAAAATGAGCCTCTTGATCTCTGGCTCCGATTCAGGGGCGATGAGAGCGGCGGCTTTCGACGGCGAGGACCGAAGGTAGAGGAAGTGCTCCAAAAGCTCTAGTGCTGCACAAAGGTACATCCCCACCGACTCAGACAGCACTGTCTCAAAAGTGTGGCACCGGCGGAACTTCACAACCAAAGCCTCGCGACAAGGGCTTGACATGCTGAGATTGTGATGCTCATCTTGCTTGGCTCATGAGTATCGGCCCGGGGCCGGAGGGATTGCTAAACTGGACGAAAATGAACAATGAATCGTGATTGGTAAATATGCCGTGCGTATCGATCGACTGGCGTTGCTCCAAAACCCAACAAGAGGTTTAGATGTTCTCCATTCGAGTCTTCGCAGTGAAGAATGCAATCAAGCCGTTGAAGCCGGTATTCATGTGTTTGAATCACCAAACCCAAAAAGCAAGTAATCCAGCACTGTGGTGTGCGTGGCCTCTTGAGTCAGAGGTGATGATTGCTTTGTTATAGTTGATTTCATATGTACGGTTGCCGCTACAATCTGTAGAGATTATACCATCCGGACAACCCAGTGCTCGAGAAGCTGCCCAACTCGCCGCTGATTATGTGACTATTATTGCTGAATATTCATTGCGATTGTTAAGTAGTAAGTATGTCTATTTCTATACCGTTTTAATCGGTGAGCCTTGCAACTTACACGTTTTTCGGCGACCGTCCACTGATCCGGCTCAGTGGTGCCTGGTTCCTGCGTGAGTTTGTTCGGTTTGTTCTTGACGTGGATTTGATTCAATATTGAACACTTGGGGTGACCGCCTCAGCGGTGGACGATTTGGCTAAGTAATAGTTCCTCGTCTAGAAGACAAGAACAGACACATCATGATCAAACTGCACTGAAATGGCCTGCCCGTTCACGGCCACATCCGGCGCCATGTCCAGAACCTTCAAGGAGAGGCACTCTTGTGCGAGGGTGGAGAGCTTCAGCTCCAGCTCGTCCGTGTTGGCATGCAGCGTGAAGTTGTGCAGGGCCATCTTCTTGCTTTGCTCTTTTTGCTTAGTTGCAAACACAACATGACGACATGCGAACTGCAGCTAGCTGGTATGCTTTTGCGGGCAGTGTGACCAGAAATGCTGTGCAGCTGTGGCACAAGTTGCAAGCAAATCTCTTTGAAAGGAGTGACCACCTGGCGGGCGAAGCGGAAGATCCCAAAGAGCTGCTCGTCCATCAGAGCCTGTTTGGAGTGCGATTGCGGGGACCAAGTCTAGGTCAGTCATTGCAATAGACTACGAAATCCTGCCTTGACACACTTCTCCACGGTCCGATCCTGACTCGATTCGCTCTCCTTCTTCAGGGCTTCCATGTTCAGCGGGTTTTTGCCGACCTGTTCCCAAGCTGATTTGCGACCGTGTGTGCATATGTGTTGTGTGCTTCTGTGTGTGTCTGCATCAGTCAGTGATCACTGAGCCAGGAATCAGTCTAACATCCAAACCCTGAGCTAGGAGGCACCTGTCGAATGGAATCATGAGTCAGAGGGAGGGAGGGAGAGAGAGAGAGAGAGAGAGAGAGAGAGAGAGAGAGAGAGAGAGAGAGAGAGAGAGAGAGAGCGAGAGAGAGAGAAAGAGAAACAGAGCAAGAAAGAAAGAGAGCGAGAGAGAGAGAGAGAGAGATTGATTGATTGGATGAGAGAGCGAGAGAGAGAGAGAGAGAGAGAGAGAGAGAGAGAGAGAGAGAGAGAGAGAGAGAGAGAGAGAGAGAGAGAGAGAGAGACAGAGCGAGAGAGAGAGAGAGAGAGAAACACACACAGACAGAGACAGAGAGGGAAAGCAGGAGCGAGTTGAGCGGGGAAGAGAATCGAGAGATTGTCCCTGTGTTCGCGGTAGCCAGGCAGGCTTGCATACAGCAACACGAGCAGCGACTAAGCCAGGCCTCGAGGGAGCTCCATAGAATCAAGAGCAAAGTGCACGACATCTGGAAGTTTGCGGCAGTATGGGCCCATGAGCACCATCGAGACCAAGAGAAGGACTCACTGTTATACCTTGAATGTACACCCAAACAAGCACGTCGATGAATGCATCTTTCTGGGCTCACAATTATTGTGCAGTTTCGCCCAAGCTTTTGCATCCCAGTGGCTTCATCGTCTTGCCGAGGATGTCGATCGTCCTCTCGAAGTTCAGCTTGGCATCCGAAGTGTAGGGCAGGCCGTTCCTCGGCTGGTTCAGTTCGGTGTGATCAAACGATTCACGAAGAAACCAGATAGTCTGGACGACACAGCTGAGTCTCTCCTTCAAGATGTCCCTGCTGAACAGCTCCATCAGCACATCGTCTTGCTCAGCCTTAGATATTAGATTTAGGTCTAATCTATCAAGTCAAACCAGTTCCTGCAGCTTGTAATTCAAAGCAGCACCATGAACTTAGGATTTGGTTGAGCCACAACTTCCAGATATCTTTCCCCAGCCTCTTTCAGGGTGGAGGCAACATTGCTTGTACCCCAAGGAGATTTCTTGGCTCTGAAGAGCCACCCGCTCAATAGCGTCATTCCTAAGCGACGGGACACACACACACACACACACACTCTATTTAGACTTTAGAGGGTGACTTTCAGGCAGGCATCTGATTAAATAGTTCAATCAGACCAGTGATCGGCAAAGCTTTGGGCTGCACAAATCCGAACGGCCAAGGGTCTTTTGATCGTCGGGCTGCAGCTTGTAACTCGACCCATATGGGCGTGTATCTTGTGCCTCAGATAACTACGAGAGGGCAAGAACTCCGCAAAAGGCAGCACACACACACAAAAAGCAAGTACTTTCAAGCATGCTGTCGAGATGCAGCTCATCCCTGACGAACCCTATCCTTGCATTGTTCCAGGCCAAGAATTGAAACGTAGCAAAGAGAGGTCCCCCTTGGTCGGGGCAAAGAATGAGGCGGAGGGCCTCATCCGGCATATGTGTGTCCCAACGGCTGCTGCCTGTCGATCGGTTCACAACATAACCCAGAACCCCATCGCCCGTCGCGTGAAGTCGTCTCTCTTCGGCGTCGGGGTTGACTGGAGCACACGGGGTGCTCGGGAACAGCTGGTCGAGGCTGAGGCCAATGTGGCTCATTGCATTCGAAACAGCCTTCAGCTCCTGCTTGGCAGCCAATCTGTCCTCTTTGAGAGCATTGAGTGCTTTCGGCCTAAGTAGAATCACTGAATCGCACTGGCTGTCTCCATGCATCCCAGAACACTGTATGAATTGCATGAAGCAAGCAGCAACTGCTTCTTTTCGTGGGGTTTCGTCGGCTCGGCCAGGACGGCTTTGGTGTGGGCTTCGGCAACCATGGCTGCCGCGGCCAACTTATCGCTTGCGGAGGCTGTGCTCGGGAGCAGGGTGCTCAATCTTTGCAGCGTGCCAACCGATAGCTGGTCCGGTAGGGCAAACACAGGCAGCCACACCTTACTTCGGTTCAGTTCCCAATCCCAACAAATCAAATGCAAGCTACAGTACAACCTCAAAGTGCCGCCCAGACTCGTCGTGCTTCGCTTTGGGGCTGGCATCGCAAATTAATGCGATGGACTTGTTCTGCAGGCCCTTGAGAACCTGGACTGGATGCAATCAGAGTTGAGGATCGAGGCCTGGATGGGGGTTTCGATTTCACTTTCGGTGGCCTGCTGCGTCGTCTGTTGAGTCTTGCAGAGATAGCGGTGCACGAAGTCAGCCGTCGTCCTGATGTAGTGTCGTGAGTAGAAGCAGCAACTTTGATACAAGGCGAGCTCTCCTTTTTACAAAACTAGCCAGTCCTGTTGTAATGCGTGGGGCACAGCGACTCGAGCCCCACCTCCTTCAAGCTTGCATCCGCCTGGCTGCTGCAGAAGCCACCGCCACGTGACAGGAATCGGGCGATGGCCATCTCCGATTTTGGCTTGCTCTCCAGCTTCAATCGTCGTCCGTCCCTGGTCGCAGCAGAACAGCAAGCTCAGCCAAAGCCCTTGCCCCAGCAAGCCCAAACTAACTCATTGCAGCCGAGGATCTTGGTCGCCGGGTGGAACTTATGCTCTGGAGAGAGGGGCGGCATCACATTGGTGGCCAGGTTCTCCAAGGATTTCTCAGCAGCTTGACTCAAAAGATGCACCAGCCGTCGTTGCAGCCGAGCAAACGTGGTTTTGTCCTCGGTTGCGGGTTGTGCGACTCGACACAAGGACTTCAAATCTAGGCATTCTATTTATTGTTGCCAGGCAATTGAATTGAACTAGAATCAATAAAATAATTACAATAAGAAATTACAAGACATGATAAGTGGCATCCAGGCTATCCGCGTGGGGCAGCCGAAGCAGAAACCACACGATCAAAGGCAAACGAAGGCCTCAGGGTATGAGCGACTCTCGGGAAGTATTGCTAGTCCATAGGAAATATTATAGAATATAGATTAGATTGCACAGTGGACCAGCCTGTGTCCACTGACTGCTCTTCCTTGGAGAGCAGCTTGCAGCCCTGCCACCTGCATGCTTTCTGCTGTTTCATGTTCGGAGGGAAGGCACAAGGGCAGGTAACAATTAGGCATTACTTGGGACCTCTGCTTCAGATTCGCATACTCCAAGAAAGCTTGCCACGAGGCCAACGACACATAGCCGTCGTGCACATGCAGCAGACCTCAGATAGCCCTAAGCCAAACACACATGTCACGATAGAGGCAGCTGCAGCAGCACGATGATGTTGGCATGATGATGTAACGATGGAGGATCTCAAGCCAAGCGACAGGCCTCGTTCCTGGGGAGCAAGGCCAGTCGGAAGCTGTCCAAAACGGTAGTCCCCAAGATCACATCTAACGTTGTCAGAGCAGATGACTGCATCTCCTCTTTGCAGCCACGGCTTTGCAAGACGTACCCTGCCTGCTCCAAGGTTGCACTTCAGTTGATGCACTGCTGCTTGGACAGCACTGGAAACAGAAGTGCTAAGATCATGTAGCCAAGTCACCATGAAAATCGCACCGGGCACTGTTAACCCGTCGAAGGGCAGCCGGGGGCGCTGGGGGTTCGTTTTGGAGGTCGGGCCCTTGTAGCTCGCTTTTCTGATGCAATGAAAGTTGATCAAATCAATTCGCCAGGCTTCGCAGATATCCATGATCAGGACTGCAAAACCAGCTCTCCTATGTCTGTGCCTTGTGTACTTGTAGAACTCCCTTGACGGCTTTGGTCGAGGCCAGGTAGAGGGTTTCGAAGCTGTGGTAGTCTTGCCCAGGACTACAGCTGCTGTCGTCAGCTGCTGCATCTGATGCCTGGCCTTCGTTACTTGCTTCTGCAGCAGCACCGAAGAGTCTCGGCCGAAACCAAAGGCCACAGGAAGCCGCTCTGGTGCGAAAGCTCAGCAATGCCTCCTGCCAGACGGAAGCTTTAGTTACTTTAGTTATTGATTCGGGTTGATTCGCTTGAGTGGTCAAACTAGAGCAAGCGGCATAAGCCCCGGGCCTCCCAGGCTGGAGGACTGACATCTAGTGACCCAACAGGTCTGTTGTTGGCGAAGCAGCCATCCATGTACTCTATTTTTTTCTGGATGTCATTCCTGAGCTGGTCTCTTTCCTCGTCGTTCTGAAGCCTTGGATTCTGGCTATTGCTGGATCATCGCAATTCAGAACTGAGTGAGCACGTTACACCCGAGCAAGCACGTTCACCAACCCCCACCGGGAAATTGCAGCCGAGAATCCCTCGCAGCTTCTCTATCCTGCCTTCCAGCCAGGAGACAGCTGCCATGGTCGCCTAAGATGCTCGCTCAAGCTGGCATGCTCACCGGATGCGTTTTTTTCGTCGGGGTGTGCAACCTTGGCGAAAGTTTTTTGCGAGCTAGCACGTACTCCAGCAAACGGCGGGGAATCGAGCCAGCACGCTGGTTTACTGTGTGTTTGGCCACCTAACCACAATATCGGCCGTCTAACAGAAATGCATTCTACCTCGCTGTTTTTTGTCGCCCTGAAGCGGGATCGCGGAGAAAAAAACCGCGTCAAACGAGCACGGTGCGGTGAGCGAGCACGTAGAAATTGCAGCCGGCAGCAGGTGCCCGAGCGGGCACGTTA